CCCTTCTGCTGCCATAAAGGTCTGGCTATCAAATATCATCCCATTTCATCTATTAGTCATCAATATACAGTTTTATTCTATGGAAAAAAGTGTCAAGAACCAGCGGCATTAACAGCACTACATCAAAATCACTTTGCCAGGTTGTTTCTTGAGCTGACTCCGTTGCCCTCGCCAGAAGGCAGGGAAAAGAAGGTTAGGACTCCACGCATCGGACTCGTCTTTTGTTTCCATTTTGCACTAGCGCGGGAGTCTCGCCTGCATCCCTCAGGACACTTGGCATGTGCAAATAATATGTGTAAATAAGCTTTGTTTTTACAGTAAAGGGATGTGCATTTTTATGTATGGATTTCTGTGTGTGTGTGTGTGTGTGTGTGTGTGTGTGTGTGTGTATTTGTGTGTGTGTGTGTTTGTGTGTTTGTGTTTGTGTGTGTGCTACAGGGAGTAAGCGAGGTCATAAGAAATGTATATTTTCTTACTGAATTATCATTTTGTGTGTACACAGAACGACACTGCAAGAACTTACATTTGCACTGACGAACATATATTCCATGTTTACATCATGTAATATACTCTATCTATACATCTTTGTCAATTTCTAGATCAAATCAGGAATACATCCTTGGCAGATCTTCTGTTTCTATATCATTCTCATGAAGCATTGCTCAATTATATGTCAGCACAACTCCGGGAATTATTATTCGGATGGCGGGCAGTCAACCAATCTACCTGTTACATTTTGATATAGACAGTTCCATTCATATCAAGTCTACTTGTCTCTTTCGCATCAGATGAACTCACCCCACTGCTGTAGGATGTATTCGACCAATTCCTGACAGATCTACATTCCTATGAGAATCTCTGCACCTTATTACTACAGGGTCTAGATTCCCCATTCTCACAGGATCCACACACTCAATTCCTACAAGATCTATACACTTAATTCCAGCAGGATCTTCATACCCCATTCCTGGAAGATCTAAACACCCCATTCCTACAAGATCCATACACCTCATTGCTCTAGCCCCCTCCTTCTGCGCCACACGCTCGAGCAGGCGTCCTTCCTGGAGTCGCATCCGAGCGCGAGCGCGCCCGGGAGCCAGTCCGCTTGTAGCCTGAGTGTCGCTTCTCACTGACTCTCGTGCCCTCCGTCCCCAGGCAGGCGAGGGAGGCGGTGGACGAAGCCCCGCAAGACACGCCCCGACCGAGCACCAAGACGGGGGCGGCGACCCCTCAGCTGCCCCCGCCCCGCCCCCCGCCCCGCCCCCCACCACGCACCGCTCCCCTCGCCGCCCCTCGCCTCTCCTCACACACCTCCCCGCACTCCCGACAAGTAAGATTTCTTCGCACTCGTCGCGCACCTCTCGGCGTCCAGAGCGGCATGCCAGGCCCGGAGATAGTGCTTGAGAGAGGCACGCGCCGCGAGGCCTCCGCCTCTGCGCTGCTGCATGTCACTGAACTGATCAAGAATAGTCTAGTCATCTCTGTGCTTCACTTAAAGATGCACATGCTTTTCCCTCTTTATTCTATCAGTGCCTGAAGGCTGAATTTGATAGATGGACAAATACTAATTACATTGATGAATCATTTAGATGTAAATAGACAACTAAATAAGAATGACATAAAAAAGGCTTCATGTGACGTGGCATCCTTTTAGTCCTCAGCTCCGAAGGTCACTCAAAGTCCCGCTTCCTCCGCCCTCAGCACAGCCACGCTTCACTCTAGCCAGACCTGAAGAGCATATCCATCGGCACTCTGATTTGTGAAATATTCTGAGGATGATGCAATAAAGACCAGAGCGTCCTTCGCCCTAGCCCCGCCCACTAACAAGCCCTGCCCCACCCGCAGACAGACCGGTTAGAGAACAGCGGCTCCCCCGTGTTCAACCGCGCCCCTGCCGAAGCCCCTCCACCGCGCCCCCCGACGGACAAGGAGCCGCGCTTCCCCCCCCTCCGGCAGGCGCAGCAGCAGCACGGGCAGGAGGGCCAAGGCAAGCACAACCGCAGCTCCAACAGCCCGCGCAGGTGAGCAGGATGTGACCGCGAGGCCAAGCGATGCTCAGGGAAATCGGCTGACGCGACTGGCTTTTGTAGGGCAGTAAGAAAACTTGATCACTGCCATCGCCATCGCCATTATTAATGTTTTATATTCTCATCATCTATATTATCATCATAATCATTAATGTTATTATTTGTTGTTATTATCGTTATTGTTATTGTAATTATTATTACTTGTAAGTGGGCAGGATAGCCAGCATATAGTTTTTAACTTATATTTAATGATATGACAGAATCTTCTAGAATCTCCTTTAACATGCCTTCGTTAAACATTCTACTGTTAGCAATTTTTAACATCCCTTCCCTTTTGTATTAGCTGGCTTTTCTCTCTCTTTTGTTTTTCTTCTTTCCGAATGATTTCATTCGGTCGCGATATGATAAGCTCTCCGTCATCGGAAAGCCTCGCCCGTGCTTACGGCTTCCTTTCCCTCGCCCGCAGGTCGAGTGAGCGCGAGGGCGGGACCACCACCCTGCCCGCCATCAACCAGGCGCGCCCGCACCAGGAGGCGCCGCAGCCGCAGCCACGCGGCCGAGGGAGGCACAACGGGCGCGGGCGGCCCCGCCACCGACAGCAGCAGCAGAACTACCACCACCAGGACTACCAGGAGCGCCGCCACGACACCACCACGGACTCGGAGGTGAGCGAGCACCAGCCGCGAGGGCGCCGCCCGCCGTCGCTCACCCGGGGCGGCGGTCGACACGCCCCGCGGGACGACTCGCGGTCGCGCCAGGAGGCTGCGGCGCCGGCCTCAGCCCCGCCCAGGGACTCCTCGCAGGGGCGGCGAGGAGGGCGGCAGGGGCGCGACGGGTCTGCGGGGCCGAGCTCCTACCCCCAGGGGGACAAGCGAGGCGCAGCGGCCGCCCAGGAGCAGGAGGGCCGCACTGAAACACGTCTGAAGGGGCGAGGGCGCGCCCAGCGCCGCGGCGGCCGAGGGCGGACCCGGAAGGAGAAGCACAGCGCTCCTCCCGACGCGGCGGAGAGCGAGCAGTAGCGGGAGCGGGCTGAGCCGAGCGGAGCCGAGAGGAGCCGAACGGGGGCCGAGCGGGAGCCGAGCGGGGCCGGATCGCCGGCGCCCACACAAAAGATATCAGTGCTATGCATATTCTAGACAGCTTCTGAAGCCACAGTGTAGCCGTGGCGAGAGATGCGCCTGTGGTTCCTATCCTGTAGCGCCGCACACCGTGGCAGCTGCCAATAAAGACGGAGCACCTTCTGCCAGCCTTTCACTATCCGCTAGAGTGAAGTCGACGTTAACTGTAAGGAGAAATAGATGCAATATACGAGGGCTACATTATTTTAATATTTTCCTCCCTGATTTCTCTCCCTAGGTCCAGGCATCCTTTAATCATGATCGTATTCCATATTTTTACAGTTTTCTTTCCCTTTTCATAATCTGTTCTAGATTACATTTACATTCGAAGAAATATGCAGAAAACTGCCTAAATAATGCAAACCAGTACACTTCCTGTAACTTTATGTACCATCCTGACAGTGATGCAATATTTCTTGTAACTCTGGAATGACATAATAAAAACATTTTACACGTTGTTGATTGCATTATCCCGTTACCTGTTATCTGTGTTGTCAGTAAAAGCATTAGTTAATACAGCGTTCTTTTTTTTCATCACTGGACCATAAACCTACTAGGATTTCACATACAAAAGCCCAACGAATAGACAGCAAATGATAAGAATCCCCAGCCCTTTATTACCAAGAATTCGATCCCAGATGACGATCATTACTCCCAAACAAGATCCCTCAACCTCCTAATCGGCGCCAAAAATCATGCGACGCGAGAAGGCAGAGTTCCCCCGCGCCAATTTTCTCGGCGCCCTCATTAACACCGCCAGGATTCGTCACTGGGCCCCCTGCGTAGGCGGGTTCCCTCGTGGGCCCGAAAAAAAAATAAAAGGAAAAATAGGAATGTAATCAAAATCTCCAGCAAACTGTTCCTGACCGCATTGTAAGTCGTATATAAAATGAAATTGATGCTGAAAATTACTGTGGCTTTGACGTATATGAAAATAAGGTATATCAAATAAGGTATATGAGAATAAGGAATTATAAAAACTTTATAAAATCATTTCTGTATTTAACCATTAAGTAAAGTTTTGTCGGTCTCAAACGCGCACGAATAACGAGAAGAATAGAATAAGCACTCAGTATTATACAATTCAACTCAACATGAAATTTATATAAGAAAAATTAGGTGCGGCCTCATTGAGAGTAATTTGGCATTATGACAGACCAGCAACGTTCATAAATACAAAAATATATATTTAAAAACACAGGATAGAAATTTAGATGTCTTTATAAAAAAAAAAAACTTCTTCACTATAGATGTGGAAAAGGCCTAAAACGGTGAAGGTAGGAAAAAGTGAGACTTACGGCGAATGCACTAAACACATGCGTCTCTTATCGATGAATTCATCCTTTATAGAATTAATAAGAGACAAAACCAGAAAATAAAAGAAAAAATAATATTTTCAAACTTTCTGTAGGCTGCCACATAACAAATATTTTTGGCAGAAATTCACACTTGAATGAATTTATTTTCCATCATCCAAATACAACACATGATCGCTGAATACATACCAATGTCGTATATTGTTCAAGTTCTTTTCTTAGTTACTTGAAGACTCAGATCATGGCTAGGATGCTTTGGAATGCTTAAGAACGATTTCATGTATGGGATGCAGGCCTTCCGATTAACAAAGTGCAAGATTAAGGTACTGTATGGAAAGATAAAATACTGCCATTATTTGGTAAATTATGAAAAATCCTGCTTTCATTCCGAACTGAAATATGTTACCTAGGATTTTATTCAAATATTTCCGATAGATATTTATATACCGTAGAATATCTATTACATATCGGAAAAAAACAATAATTAATAATTCGCGAATTTTCTTGTTTGTTCATATTTTTCCCTAAAAGTCTAAAAA